AGCTTCAAAGTAGCAAAACCAGGATGGAAAGACTACCTAAATTACAAGAATAAAGTGTATATGAAAGAAGGGATTAAATTGGTATCTAAAATAGGAAGGAAAGAAGTGTTTTTATAGGAGAAGTGAGGTGGTTGGGTCTAAGACATAATCTGATTTTCCCATGTTCACTTGTTTTATTGGATCTCTTATGATCTCCGGGTCGAATCATATCCGATTTTTCATACATCTTTGTCCTCCATGAAGCTTCCTCTTGTCTCCAATGCTCTTTCCTTGTTGTCCCAAGCTCCTTCCTCTTCTTTTCATCATGTTTTTGCTTACATGTCAAAATATCTTAATATCTTCTAATTCTTCTTTAATTTTAGAAGATAAAGATTACACCATAATTGTACAAAAGCTAAGTAAACATAATGTAAAACCATTCTAAAATGTGGTGTTTATGTACTTCTAAATAGTACGCATCACCTGGCCCTGGCGTACGAAGTAATTTATTTTCCCTCAAATTATAACACTTACAAGTTACAAGTTACAAGGTAACTTGATGAGTAGGGTCAGATATCGAAGAGCCTGGTTCAAAATCTGTACGCGACAGGAAACGAAGCAAAGGGCCAACCTGTCTCAAATTTGGGAAACGACGCTTCATTCTGGTCAACGATGGGAAACGACGCTTCCACCTGGGCAATGCAAATCGATTCACGCAGGGTTTGGGAGCGATTCTAAGAGCGATTGCGAGTGTTTGTGAAGAGCGAATGGGACGACTCTTAGACCGTACCAATTAGCGTTCCCATCCGCGACCGGATCGATTTCGTACCGCGTTTGGGTACGGAACGATCGGTACGCAGATCGTGCCTTCCCCAGTGATTTATGTATCTATGGCCCGGACTTCATGCAGTAATTGCATATTACTCCTCTGTTAAGTTGACCCGCACACGACATTTTTTTTTGCTTTCTTTTTTTTTTTATTTTTTTTTAAAGTAAAGCAAAGAATAAAAGAAAGGAAGTTCAATAGAATTGGACTTATGTATTCTCCTTGTGGACCGCTAGTAAACAGACTCAGAAAAGTGTGAGACAAAAATTGTTACCCGATTTGAATCCACGTGTGCTTACCGATGGGAGGTTGTAGGAGTGCAAGCATAGGTATCCACAACCATGATGCCTAATAGGCTTGTCCTCTCGGTTGTCTTCTGCGCGCTCGTTCCTTGGCCCTGCAGTCTCTTTTCTGATGGTAAGGAACGAAGCCTTACCAGGCCAAAGACGAGCAACACCAGAAGATGGGTCTTACGTAGGCGAGCCGGAATGTAGTTTTCGATCGGAAATCTGGGCCGCGAATATACGTCACGCGCCGGCGCGTGAGTTGAGGTCGCCGGACTTGTGGTGGCGCGTGTAGCACACTCGCGGTGTAGTTGGACGTCGGATTTCGGCTGTGGGGTCGTCGGAGGTAGGCGCACCTCCTGGGTATGACTTTGATGCAGTCTGGCCTGAAGAGAATATGGGGCTGTAAAGACTAACTGAGTTTCTGAAATATAAACTAGAATAATATTGAAAAGTGGAGGAATGATTTTCTGTGTTTTTCATTAGAGGGTTAAGGCCCTATATGGCTATATATATATTACAAAGATGGAATATTCCTATATAAGATGCTATACATTAATAATGTCTAGAGTACATTAATAATGTCTAGAGTAAATTTTCCATCATTTGCAATGGAGCCAAAGATTCATTATTTTTTGGCTTGAGATTATGACGGAATAAAGAAAAATGGCTCACTAAACTGTCTGCGCTTCTTTGTTATGAAGCAGCCGTCAGTCCATGCAATTTTGGACACGATTTTCACTATGGTTCATCCGGAAACAGTCTCTCTGTGTTTTAGTGCAGGGGTAAGACTGCTTACATCCGACCCCCCCTTACCCCACCGTAGGTGAGAGCCTTTGCGGCACTGGGGTAAATGAAAATGATGATGATGAGTATATTCCTAAAGCATATTCTAGAGCATATTCCTAAAGCATATTCCTAGATGCAATAATACTTTCACACTCAGGATCATTGACAGTAGCAGCATACCTGGCTTGCGGGGGCATATAGAAGGAACTGCAAATCAAATTAATCTACAACATTATTTATGATATATTTCATATAGAATCAAATCTGATCTTCAGCATTTATTGTAATATATTTCATATATAATCTTACCTTGAATAGCTTAGAAATTCCCTGTATAAATTGTACAATCTGTGCATCAATAAACTATGCACTTACCTATGAATTCCTGCCTCTCTCTAAATTCATTAGCTACCATGACAATGTTTCAGTTGAGATACATGATCACTCAATGGTAGTAAAAGTTTATAAGCAACTGTGCCAATCCTCTCGATGATCTAAGAAGGGCCAAAATATCTAAGCCCTAACTTCCGATTCTTCCCGAGGGTTATAGAATGTTGGCCTTAAGGCTGAAGTTTGACTAGGACTTGATCTCCAATTTGTAATTCCACATCCAATCTTTTCTGATCCGCATACTTCTTTTGCGAGTGCTGAGCTCCATGCTAATTAACCTTGAGCTTCTGATTAGTCCATCTCGCGTCATCGGGTGTTCCCTCACATTAGCTGGGTCCGTGTCAGTAGGAACATACGTACACAGTTGAGGAGGATCCCTTCCGTAGACTATCTTGAAAGGTGGGTATCTCGCACTGGTGTGATACACTATTATACCACTATTCAGCCCAAGGTAAAAACTTAGACTACTCCTTTTGAGAATCAAAAGTGAAGCATCCAAACATTTATTCAATACCTAACCTCTGAATGTAGGTGATAAGAGCATCTTTAATGGGGATGTGGATTGTACCCCATAATAATTGGACACATCACTAATTGTACCTCATACCTTCAGAATGTCCTCCACAGTTAATTTCTCCTCCACCTATAATAGTAAGTATTGTTTATTAAGACAATAATGTGTGGGAGTAAATTTCATCACAGGTGAAGCACAAACCCTTTTTTCTTCGAAGATGCGTTTCTGCTCTAGACATCTTCTTGACATTAGTGGTTTTGGAATTGGCCGTGAAGGAGCTACTATTGGTTGACGGATTTGCAAGCAGTGGCAGTAAAGACGTGGATTTAATTGATTGAGATGATTTGTAGCTAGAACTGTTTGATGTTACTGAAGAGTAGTTGGACTGACAAGGTTTGAACTTAGAGGTTTATTTTTCCTCAAACAATTTAGCCAGTGAAACACATCTGAGCAACGATGTAGGTGCTTGAGCAATAACTTTTGTGCGAATGTCCACCTTTATACCACCTACGAAGCAGTCAAACAAGGCTTCAGTGGTCACACCTTGCACCCAATTAGCAAGTGCAGTAAATTTCAAATAATAATCATGTATTGAAGTTTCCAGTTTTCTGAATCAGTAAATTTCAAATAATAATCATGTATTGAAGTTTCCAGTTTTCTGAATCAGTTTGAACAGGTTTGACCTCGGACATTCATATGGGAAGGCCCGAATTCCACTTCCAATGCTCTGGTGAAATCAATCCATGAACGAAACAGTTTAGATCTATTCATCATTTGGAACCAAGGAACGTCATTTTCCATATGAATTGCGGCAATAGTCAATCGTTGATCATCCGGAATATTGTAATAAGAGAAAACTTGTTCTGCTTTAAAAATCCATTGCAACACTTCAGAACCATCAAATCCAAGAAAACCGAGTTTCACGTTGCGAACCTGAAATGGAAGGCACGATCCCCCAAGATATGGGCCAGGATTCAGCTCTGATGATTTTTTTGCCAGTGAATCAACCATGGATTCCAGTGTGTTAAACCGTTCTTCATTATCATTCCTTCTCAGTTCTAGAGCCTTCAACAGTTTGTTCAGGTCACGATCAGTTGCTGAAACAGATTCAGACAGTTGGCGATCATTATCCGTAAGATCTCTCAGTTTTCCGATTTCAAACGATAGTTCATTTAGGTGATTATCGAGCTGCTTCAGGCAAGTACCTTCTGCTGCCATGAACGAATGAAAGCACCAATGTAAGGTATTTTACCAGAAAACCAAAATACTTGCAGGCAAAACAATAACAAACGACCAACCACAGTCTGTTATTAGAAAAACGTATTAAAACAGTCTCATCATCTCCAGTACGCTAGAATTTAGCAGTAATATTAATTTGCTAATGAACAGAGAAACTGGAACAGAAAAGCGAAGATATTTTCCAATTAATCCATTCCCTTATCTTTTAGTACTCTGCCAGATGTAATCCTTCAGTCTCGTGTTAGTGGCCTTGATTCGGTTACTCCTCATATTCACGCTTTCGGTACCTTCTGTCACGTGCCCTTCCTTTTTTAATGCGGATGTGGCTCCCTCCTGCTTATTTGCGGTTTGGCTCATTACAAACAACACATGTGCAATTGTATATTACACACATTTATTTACGTACATGTGTGTATATATATACATATATATTTATACGTACCAGTGTGTGTGTATTTGTGTCAAGTGAGCCCCACATGAATTTGGTAAAGCTAACATCAATGATCATCTGGTCACTTCAAAGGCTTAGTTTTTACTCGTTAGCATCTACTATTAATTTCAATTGTTAGATTTCCATTTTTTTTAAAGATAGACGATAGAGACTGACACCCTCTCCTTTAGAAGCTATTTAGCAGTTTAGATTAATTCATTATTATAAGTGGAGTTATATTTAATAAATTTGTCACTTGGTTTAATTTTTAGCCAAAATCAAAGGTCGTCCTACTATTTAGAGAGTTTTCCTACTTTTAAATAGTCAAAATTATGACCAAATTTTGATTAATTAAAATAGAACCATAGAGTTTAATTGTATGTAACTTGAGTTATCCTGTATAAGGGCTCTATAGTAGTAAATAGATATAGTTACACATAGCTTGTTGTGGCCTTTTGGTGCAATTGGGTTCCCAAGCTGCTATATGTAGCTGTTAGTTCCACCAGTGTGAGGTTTCCATTCAAAGTGTTTTAATTTTCATCTTGTCAGATTCTACATCGGTGTTGCACTTTCGTCACTTCGGATTTCTGAGCCTTTGTAATTAAATGCCTTGGTGCGGTCAGGAACCAAAGGGTGACAAACAGTCAACTAAATACAGGTCTTATTCACATGAAGGGGCATTCTTTGGACATGCGGATTTCTCTGTATCACAAAAGAATAAGAAGCAGAATAACAACCCTACTGAACTCAAACCTCAAGAAATAATGACCAAAAGGGAGCTTATTTCTTCAGTTGGCTATATATGGAGTTCTGCAGCTCTTCCTCTTTCATTTATCTTATCGAGTGAATGTTCTCACCGAAATGTTGATCCTCGGGGAAATAGTCTAATTAATGTATTCCCTGTGTGGGATATTCATATTGTGCCTTCCTTATCTGGTGGAGGGAAAACCCTGACCCATCTGTGCATTGACAAAGGTGTTTCATTGCTTTTATCACATAATCTAGAAAGTTTGTGTGCTAATAGAAATTATCTATTATTTGAAACTTGTAATGAGAGATACAGTTTGTGGAGATCACTCCGCATTGTACTGGACACGAGAAGTAAAGGCATAGATCTTGCCAGTCAAAGGATATCATATGATCTAGAAAATGTTTATCGATGGATGAGCCGAATAGCTTTGTGTAAATCAAACTTAGGTTCTTCTTGGATTCAAAACCACGGATTTCATAATTGCTTCTCAGGAAACTCAAACACCGAAAATACTGACTGCCACACTGATGTAAAACCCATCAGTTCAATGTTAGCTCAAAATTTAGATCTTCATAGTAGTGGTAGTGCCTCTGATATTACTTTATGCTCAAACCATGATAAAGATTTTTGTCATGGTCTAGAAACTGGGTTGGATGAGAATGGTCTGAATCAACAGTTAAATTCGGAATTAGAGATTGGCGTAATAGCTAAGAACCAATGCCAATCACTTGCGAAACGAGAACATGCTTTTGCTGGAGCAATGGCGGGTATTTGTGTCAGCATATGTCTTCACCCCATGGACACAATTAAGACCATCATTCAGTCATGTCATGCAGATCGGAAATCTTTTTATTACATAGGCCGATTGGTGATCTCCGAAAGAGGTACTCTCTTCCAATGTTGAACTTTATGTGTTTAGAAAATAATAATTCTGATTTCTGACATATCTGAAGTGACCCTTTTGGCTGTTTGAAAATTTAATTTTAGGCATAATGGGACTTTATCGTGGAATTTTGAGCAATATTGCTTCTTCAGCGCCAATATCTGCACTTTACACTTTCACTTATGAATTTGTTAAGGGAGCATTGCATCTTTTACTCCACACGGTACATGTTTATCTTTAGACTATTAAACATAACTATATAAATATCCTACTGGCCCTGATTAGCTTGCAAATAAGCACTAGGATAGTAGACTAAGCTTAGGTGAATATGCTCTTTTCCTGCGTAGGTCTTATCTAAACCCATTAGATCACCCTAGCCCCGATTTAGTTTAGGCTAGGCGCTAGGCTCCCGATTACCACTTGGTTTGGCGCATAGTGATTTTTATAATATTGCTTTATGTTGATATATAAACTAGATTGATATTGAAGATGGAGTGAAGGATATTTTGAATGTTTATTGAAGGGTTGAAGTCCCTATAAATATACGTCCTCCGTTCTTAAATAAATGCAACGGTTAACATTTCACATTTGTCGAGACACAACTTTGACCATTAATATATATAATTCTCTATTAGTAAAAATATTAAAAAGAGTAGATTATGAAAATTTACAACGAGATAAATTTAACAATATGTTTTTCAAAAAAATATATTAATACATTAATAAATAAAATGTTGTCAAAGTAGAACATGTGAATAGTGTAAAATTCAACATGTTACATTTATTTAAGAACGGAGGTAGTATATTACAAGATATACTATTCCTTTAAGATTATGTAGCATAATAATATCCTAAAGTGTATTCCTAAATATTCCAAAGCACATTCCTACATTCATTCCAATATATTTCACACCCCCTCAAGTTGGAGAATAGATATTTATCATGCCCAACTTGTTACACAAAGAGTCAACTCGAGTCCCATTTAGTGCTTTCGTGAATAAATCATCAAGTTGTTCTCAGTCTTCACATATTCGGTAGAAATCAATCTCTTCTGTATATTCTCTCAAATAAAGTGACAATCAACCTCAATTTGTTTTTTCCCTCGTGAAATACCGGATTATTCGCCATGTGTATAGCAGTTTGGTTATCACACCTCAATTTAGCAGGTTATGTCTTCAATCCGAATTCACTCAATAAATGGCTTATCCATATGATCTCACACGCAGATTGCACCATAGCTTGATATTCTGATTCAATACCCGAATGAGAAACCACACTCCATTTCTTACTCTTCGAGGATATTAGATTACCATCGACAATGACACAATAGCCATATGTAGATCTTCGATCATCTTTAGAACTGACCTAGTCAGCATCTGCAAAGCATTTTATTCTCATGTGATCATGGTTTTGATAAACAATATCTCTTCCCAGTGCTCTCTGTAAGTAACATAATATGTGTTCTACAACAACCTAAGATCTATGGTCGGAGATGACATGTATTGAATCACTACACTCACATAGTCAGCAATATCTGGATGAGTGACTGCGAGATAAGTAAGCTTTCCAACAAATCTTCTTTATCTTTCTAGGTCTTCAAATGGCATTCCTTCTTGAGTGAGTTGCATGTTGGGAACCATGGGAGTATTTGTTGGCTTTCATTCCAATTTTCCTGTTTCAATTAGCAAATCAAGTACATATTTTCGTTGAGATAAAAATATGCCTTTCTTACTCTATGTCACTTCAATTACCCAAGCAGTATTTCAATGAGCCTAGATCTTTTGTCTGGAACTGGCTATGAAGAAAATCCCAAATGCCCAAAATACATGCATTATCACTTCTTGAGATCACAATATCATCGACCGATATACCACAAACAATGTGACACCTGCTTTCGTTCATCGGTAAAAGACAAAATGATTTAACTGAATTTCCCAAACCATGCACGAGGATTCTGCTTCAGACCATAAAGAGATGTGAAGTCGATAAACGTTACCATAGTCCCCCTGAGCTAAAAATCCTAGAGGTTGCTCGATATAAACTTCTTTATGCAGGAACGCATTTTTAATGTCCAACTGATGTAAGTGCCAATCATGAGTTGCAGCAAGTGAAATGAGTAACGTGACAGATGTTAATTTAGCAACAGGAGAAAAAGTGTCAGAATAATCAGCACCATAGGTTTAAGCATAACCTTTCGCTACTAATCGAGATTTCAACCGAGCTACAGATTTTTCTGGGCTAACTTTAACAGCAAAGACCCACTTAAATCCAATAGACTTCTTCCCTGTAGGCAAATCTACCAAATCCCAAGTACCATTAAGATTCAAAGCATTCATTTCAATTACCATGGCATGATGCCATTCAGGATGAGACAAAGCTTCTTTAACAGATTTGAGAATAGAAACAGAACCAATTGAAGTAATAAAAGAATAGGCTAAAAGGTCAAATAGGTACATGAACTAACTTAAAGTGTTCAATTAGCCCCTTATATAGGAGGTTCTGCCCGGCTCCGGTGAAAGTTTATACCAAATTTCAGCTAAAAATTCAACCGGGAAGGCAATCAAATGATTTTTTGAAGATAACTGCGCAGTTAAACAGCGCAGTACATTTCGAAAAATCATTTGACTGCCTTCCCGATTTAATTTTTAGCTGAAATTTGATATGGGTAAACTGGACTTGATGAAGAAGATGCTCAAAAAATTTCATCAATTTTTTTACCGGGAACCGCCCCAATTGGCGACGGTCGGGCAGAATCTCCTATATAAGGGGCTAATTGAACACTTTAAGTTAGTTCATGTACCTATTTGACCCTTTAGCCTAAAAGAATATGAGGCAGGGGATAATTGACTATACGACACAAATGAAGAAATAAGGTGAGCACAAGATCGTGTACCTTTATGTAGTGCTATCGGGAGGTCAAGATTGTCAGTAAAGACATAATCTGAAGTGATTCAGGACATGATATCAGGATAAGTAATAATAGATGTCACAGGTGGAGGGTGATATGTTGCTTTGTGTTGACGGTTGTATACCAAGTGTATTGGGGACCTAGGGTCAGGAATAGTAACTTGTGGAATAATTGTCGAAAGTGTGGACTCAGGTACATTCATCGTGTAAATGAGTATATCATCATTATTCTCATGAACATCTTACCTTAGATGATGAAAAATGTGTATTTTCATGAAATGATGCATGAATAGAAACAAGATACCGACCTGTACTTGAACAAAAACATCTATACCCCTTTTGAACTCGAGAATAGCCTAAGAAAGTACATTTTAATGATTTGGGATCTAGCTTTGTAAGATAAGAATTAACATCTCTAATAAAACAAGTGCAACCAAATATTTTAGGTGAGATAGGAAAAAGCTCTTTATTTGGAAATAGACAATGATACAAAGCTTTACCATTCAAAACAGAAGACGACATACGGTTTATCAAAAAACATGCGGTAGACACGACATTAGCCCAAAACTTTTTAGGTACATTCATTTGGAATAGAAGAGCCATTGAGGAGGTGTGTCCATGCTTGAAGTTTGATGAATGATGCTATGTTGAAGCAGTGAAGCATAAATGATTTAAATGTAGCAAATAGGTATTCTTGGGCATTGTCTCCTCTTAACACCCGAGCAAGAGCATTAAATTGGGTTTCAATTCCTGCACAAAACGCAGAAAAATGAGTTAATAACTCTGCTCGTTGTTTCATAAAATATAACCACGTCATATGCGAATAATAATCAACAAGTGTAACAAAATATTTGAAACCAGATTTAGGCACAAAAAGCAAGCCCCCCAAACATCATAATGGACAAGATCACAAGGAGCATTTGCTCGTTTATTAACTCAGGGTCTTAAACTAGTACGATGGTGGTTTGCAAATTGACATGACTCATATTATAAAGATGACACCTTATTGCACTGGGGATATATCTGCTCATTAGTGGGAGAGATGGGTGTCCTAGTCGGTAATGAGCTTCTAACAAATTCCCAACCCCAAGACAAGAGATTCCTTTTGTGATTGATGTATCTAAATATAAAGATCAACCGACTCATGTCCTTTACCAATAGTCTGCTTCATCAAAACATCCTGAAACACACAATATCCAGGAAAAAATGTTACCGAATAATTAAAGGTACGCGTGATTTTACTTATGGAAAGAAGATTAAAGCAAAAATTAGGAAGACTCAAAACATGTGATAATGGTAATGTAGAAGTTGGAACTAGTGAAGTAGACCCATCAGCTAAAGTGACACTAGAAGTAGGTAAATATGAAAGAAATGATGAGAAAAGATTAGGATTACCGGTCATATGATCTGTTGCACCTGAGTCAATGACCTGTTTTGAGTATCACGGGACAAGACATGTGTTTGAAGTACCTGAATTAACGACTAGCGAGATAGGAAAAATGAATGCTTTAGAGATTCTTGGTAGCAAAGAAATTTCACATAATAATCATCTGAAGAAAGAGTAACTGATCCATAAGATGAATTCGTAGCGGAAGCACCATGAGTGATGATTTTTTGAACATCAACTTTTGACAATCTTTGATCAGGACATCTTGTAGTAATTGCTTGTTTGTTCTGTGCCAAACTGACCAGTACAAGGCATTTTTCATGATCTTTTTTTACTGGCCAAATTGTACAACAATGATTTACAAAAAATAGTTCAGTCACATTTCACGCATAACTGGAGCACCTCAAAAATGGAGGGGGTGGTTTCCCAAATAAAGGCTTTCAAAATCTCACGGCAGATGTGTATGCATACTGAAGTTTTTCTGAATTTTATTATTGATAGAACTCAATAAGAACTCAAAGTACAGCTGCATATTTATAGAAAACTAGTCCTAAGAAGTGTCTGTTCAGTACCCTAAGTGACTGTCCAGATTCTGAAAAATAAATGAATATAAATTGATTAGACAAATATTAATTACAACCTGAACATGCACTAAATACTCACTAAAGACTCATTATTACAGAAAAAAAGACTCTTCTTTTTCTCAACAGATGCATCAACACTCCCCCTCAAGCTAGGTTTGTAGATATCCTTCATGCCTAGCTTGACAATAAGACTCTGGAACCTAGGACTGTGAAGAGGTTTGGTAAACACGTCTGCAACTTGATCTTCTGAGGGAATGTAGCTTAGTTCAACCAGACCTCCTTCAACCTTTTCTTTAATGAAATGCCGATCAATCTCAATATGCTTGGTCCGATCATGTTGGACGG